CAAAAAGTATGAAATACTATTCTTTGAGATTTCCAGCCTTTGATACACTATCTAGATTCCCACCGACAATGGGTGTCCCACTGTAACAGCACATTTTATAGGCACATGCTGAGCTCATGATAATGGCAATAATAGAAATCTGGGTACAGTCACTTTCACCTCGTTTTGTCAAACACCTGTGTAAAATATATATCTTAGCAATCAATTGAATTGGAATAATTAAACGAAGAATAAAACGCTTATGTTTAGAAAGACGTTGCATCCATGCACATGTACATCCTCTACACACACAGAGTGGGTTGTTAATAACACCAGCTTAAAGCAACGGCTGAGCCATTGCTGGCTGAGTATCATCAAATTGTAACTCACAGGAGACTGCCCCTTCTTATTTATGCCAGAGCGTTTCAAAGGTGAAATCTTTCCTTTAACCTCCTAATCTCTATTTTCCTCTCATCGCGTATTTCCCAGCTCCGGAAGATGAAGCCCCTCTCGTTTTCCGTGCGTGCCGAATCCACCGCGTGCCATGCCCGGCTCTTCCCTCTGGAGGGAGCCGGCTCTTCAGGCAGGGCCGGCCGGGCTGCGCGCAGCATCTTCCTTCTTCTCTTCCTCCTCCTCCACCGCGGCCACTGGGCAGCGATACCTGCGGGGACCGTCCGAGGTGGCCCTCGGGACGCACTGGGGGTGTCCCTGCCCACACCGGCAGTTCCACACACACCGCGGGTCAGGCCAAAGCATCCGCGCTCTCAACGCGCTGCAGAATTTGGTTTCAATCCATCAGGAAACCGACCAACAGAAGGCAAAGCACAAAGAAACAACACAAGTATGTGCACACAAACGCTCTTCTCCCACCGTCCAGCCCAGCCGTGTTCCACAGGCTCACGGCAGCTTTCTGAGCTCGTTGGGTAATGATGCTGAAACCTGCTCTGCAGGTACTGCTGCGTTTGCTCTTCCAGCCTTCTCCAGGCAGCAGGGCTCAGCTTCTGCCCCCCAGCCCAAACCTGTGGGTGCCTGACTTGTTTCTAGCAGCTCCAGGGATCCCTTTACACAGGCAGAACATTACACAACCTCCTTTTCTTTTCCACACAGATCAAGGTACAACTGCTGTTTGGTGAGGGATCCAGCATCACAGGCTGAAATCCACTTGCTGGAGAGAAGGAGGAGTGCTGGCAGGAAAGGACAGTGCCCCAGCTGAGGTGGCCCTGACCCATGTAGCCCCACTGGCCATGGCTCTGTGTAGAGATGCACTAGAAGCCCACAGCTCATGGGAGACCCACACTGTTCCCAGCAGCCTGCTGCACACAGAACACCTTTCTATACCTGCTACAGTCCTCGGGTCATTCTCCACCCTGCAAGGCACTGTTACACACACTGTAGCAGGAAGACAAAGCAGTTGCTCCCCTGGCCATGGCCATGTGTACATGTGCCTGATATTGACTGAAGAGGTGCCAACACCTCAGGACACTGAGAGGCAGCTGCTGGAGACCGCCCATGCAGTTCTAGCCAGAGAGTTACAGGGTCTCCCTGAAGAGAAGAAAAGACTAAAGAGAACATCTAGGAAATGTGTAAAGAGTGTGCACAAACACTGCAAACACACAGGAGTCTCATCCTGATACTCCTATCCTACACTGAATTTAATCAATTTCACTAGCAAGGACAGAATAAAATCAACTGCAAAAAGCCATTTCTGAAAACTGGAGCTATCCCCAGTGTTTGGGTTAAGTGATTAAGCAAAGGCCACCCTTGTTCCACCTGTGTGGAACAAGGAACTAATCCTGGATTTATCCACTGAGCTGGGTGACGTGGCTTGCAGACCTCAGAAGCAACCACTGAACTCAGCCTGCAGCCCTTGCAAATGAGCTAGATGGCTAATTTGTTCTCTAGCCCTATTTGGAAAATACAAAGGATGCTTGTAACCTCCACACCAGGGCCTGTTTTACAACAGCTTTTAAAGACACTTCATGTGTAAGTGCTTTGTGTGACCTGAGGCACCCACAAGTGCAAGTATTGCCTGGAAATGCAGCTGCCTTCTTTCCTAGCGTGTGCCATGGCCCTTGGTGACAGCGTGGGCTCAGTGAAGTTTAACCAGACGTGTAATCAAGTCATACAAAGTCATTCATCAAATCAATCTACAGTACACAGACAATGCATGGCCTATACATGATATGTCCTGACAGGTAATATGACATTAAAGTGTTACAAATTTCCTGTGATATTCAAAACTGGTCAGTCTGCAGGGTTTTGTTTATTTGAAGTGGATTTTTTCTTGGGATAGAAAAATGACCCTTTTTGTTTCCCATATCTGTAATATTCCCATCCCGTGAGAGAGACATTGTTATGGAAGGAGGGACACCAGTCAAAGACCTGAAGAATCTTGATTTAAGGATTAAAATACAACATGAACTGGATTGCTAACGTGCTTCAATGTGAACATGTCTAAGCACCTTGCATGCTGATGGGACTAAATGCATTGTTAGAAATACCATTTTCATAGCTCAGACTGTAGGCTTGACACAGCTGCATGTTCTCCTTCCATTCAGCCTCAGGACCTCTGCAGTGGTTCTTTAGCACAGAACACAGACTGCTGATCCTGAGGACCCTCTATCCACAGCCATAGCTTGAAGCTGTGATTTTCTCTTCTTCTAACAAATATAAAACTGAAATTCTTACAGTCAAGGAGCCTTGAGCTATTTTCATTAAGGGCACAGTTTAGTCCTGGCACCTTGGGTCATTCTGTGTGTGCTTAAAGAGAACAGGTGCTTACCAATACAAACAAATCTGTTTTCACCCAGGAATCCCAACCTTGCAAACTGGTGTATTGTGATAGATTACCACAACCATGGGCACCTGCAGCAACCAGGGACAGAAGGGAAGGAGCAATCGCCTATGGAGAGCCACTGTTTGCTCAGACTAAGAACTCCTTATTTAAATAACTGCATTTTGTAGGGGAGGCTTAGACTTCAGGGCAGACATGCTGACAAATATACACAAATAATCAAACAAGAAATGAAGAAAAGAAAGAAGAGGAAAAATATTTATAAATGTCACTGTCCAATGTCTTTTCAATTGAAATGAAATAAGATTATCTACATATATCTACAAATATCTACATGTATCTACACTTTGCAGATATGATTCTTTGGTTGTCTTCACTTTTTTCCTACACTGCAACTATCAAGAAAAAAAAAATGGGTTTGTATAATCTTTGAAGGAAATAATAAATATAACAACTTCATTAAACATTTGACCAAAGCTTTGGCACTAATCAGTTTACAGATAACAAATCATACTGAAAACTCTGAAATAACAGCAGCAAAGCAACAGCAATAGAGCACATCCAAGAGCCATTTCCCACTGACTAATAATAAGCACAAGGCTATTTTACATCAACCTTTCTGAGAACATTATGCTTTAGTCAGACATTAAGAATCTCACAATTCACTGCAAATGTCAAATAAAATACATATTTCTTGCACAAGTCTTTTTTTATGGATCCAGATATATTTTTTAACAGAAAAAAATACATAAAATATTCATGGTAGCCTGTATGCCTTCTTAAACCTTTCCAAAACGGTTTTGGAAGCCCAAAGCCCACTGCCAGAGACAAAATAAACATTGCTATTAACATTGCCACCTGCACAAGGGAAAGAACATGTTTTAAAGAGTTTATAATGAAAATGCACAAACATGGATGAATAGATGACTTTAAAAGAAATAACCTCCATCTTTTAATGGAGTCATGTGGAAGAATCAGGAAAGTGTTCATAATACTGTATACCAACACAGCTGAGGAGCTGCTCAATACCTTCTCTGAACACAAAGGGACTGCCTTCGGTGAGCATCTGACAAAAACACAAGCCAACTATTCAAAACACATCACTGGAGAACTTTGATGAGCAGGGCCATCTTTTTAGCAGTAAGGAACAACTACTGAATGAAGATACTGAAGGAAAAAGAAAAAGTACTTACCAGCATTAAGAGGGAAGATGCAGCAAGCAGGTAATGCAGAATAGATGCTTTAGAACTACTGCAGTTTGGGTCAGCCAAATATAAGGGGTGAACTAGTCAGAAAAAAAAACTGAAGTCCCTTTAAAAGGCACCTCCATGAGAGAGTATTCAAGAGCTCAGGAAAGGATGCAGGAAGGCAGAACCGTGTGAGGCTGCCTGGGAAGCAGGTGGGAAACACACAGCTTGAAATCTGCAGATATCCCCCCACCCCCAGGCTGGTTTTTAAACCTTTGCAGGTATTGTTGGGAAAACAAGATACAAACACAGCTGCACATGTCTGTGCTTCTCAACAGGCCCTTCTCAACAGCTCCAGAAAATGCTGCTATGGGTAAGGCATCCCAGTGAACCCCAAAACTTACAAATGGGTCAGGGCCGGAGGAGAAGTGGGCAATTTGTTCTGGCAGTGAGGATTCAAAGCACTCCCTTAAACTAAACTCTGCTTCCCCAAGAATCGCCTCAAAGAACCACCTGAGCCACCTGTGAACCAGCCCCCGGTGTGCCCCGGGTTGGGAAAGACTGACACCGACAAGTGCAGGACAACACACGGCCCACGGCCGGCCCCACAGCCCCCGCTCGGTGCCCACGTACAGGCCCCGGGGGCACCGCCAACACCAAACCTCCATCAGAAGGCCCGGCGGGCGAGTGAGAGGGGACAAGTCACTTCACTGCTGCCGCCTCACCGTCCTCCCACCGCATCCCAGCCGCCCGACGGTCCTCGGTGCCCGGCACGAACGGAGGCGCGAGGGAATAGAGAGATAAGGACATATGGCTTCATTTATCAAAGTGCAGCCGCGGGTCACACCGCGATGGAGCTCCCGGCACCGCCACCCTCACAGCCCCCACAGGGCGGGGCGCGGGGCGGGGCCCGGCTGCCGGCGATTGGGCTGTCTGGCTGTCGATCAGGTCAAGCTGGCCAATCAGCTCACTCGTAAGGCGGGCGGTGGGGGAAAGGCGGGAAGGGGGAGGGCGGTGTCTCTCGTGTCGCCGGTGCCCCGTTACCGGGGCCCGTAGTCGTAGCCGGCGGGCGCTCCGGCCGGCGAGTACATGTTGGCGGCCGCCGCCGCTGCAGCCGCCGCGTTCATGTGGTGGTGATGATGGTGGTGGTAGCTGTGCCCGCGGATGCTGGGGAGGGGATAGGGGGCGGGCCGGCTCTTCGCCCCCAGGTAGTGGTCGTAGGCGGCGGCCGCCGCCGGCGGGTACTTGTAAGGATGGTGGTGCAGCGGCTCGGACGCGGCGGGCTCCAGGCGCAGTTCGTGGTGCGGCGGGCTGGGCCGGCCGCCGCCCGCCCCGGCCAGCGGCACCAGCCCGCCGCCTCCGCCCGGCAGCGCCGGGCTGAGCACGCGGGACATGAGCTGCTGGTGCGCGGCCTCGGCCTGGTGCAGCGCCGTCCCGCCGGCCTCCCGCTCGAACTCCCGCCGGCTCTCGGCAGCATCTACGGGGGCAACAGAGTCAGTGCGGCCGCGCCCGCGGGAGCGCATCCGCGCACACCGGGAAGAGGCCGCGAAGGGAAGAGCGGGGCGTGCAGCAGCGGCATGCGGCAGGAACGGGGCTGGCGGGACGGGACCTTCTGACTGCGATAAATGGAGTTGAGTTGACTGACAAGCTGGTACACGCCTGACATTTTTGCAATTGTGTAACACTAAACAAATACAGACTTCCCTTTATTTTGCAGGCCCGGTGTGCGTTGGAAGAAAGGCCTTCGGTTGTCGTTGCAGTTGTTTGCTCTGGGTAATGGAAAAGCAGTCAATGGGCAGAGGTGCTGTTCGACCTGACTGCAGCTCCTGAATGGAGTGGGTTGGCCCTAAATGCACTGCCGAGGCACATTAAAAGGGCAATGCAAGAAGGAACCTGTGGCCAGCACTGCATCTCTGCCTGAAAAGCTGAGTTTGTTGCTAAAAAGTCGAAAATGGGACACTTAAGGCAAGGGGCAATGTTTTTTAAAGCAGCAAATTTTCTTAAGCACACAACAGCAAATGTTGTAGTCCAAGGAAGAATGAATTAGGCTATAAAAGCAGGTATTTTTCTTTAAAAAATGAGCGATAGCACAAAGCTCATTAGCAATGGGGCTGTGCACCAGCTCAGTGAGCAAGGCTGGCCCCAAGCGTGCATGCACGGGCTGTGCAGGCCAACAGGGCCTGGGAGATGCGCTGGCCTGGCCACTCGGGGCTCTCACCTTTCTCTGTCCCATTCTGGTGGGCTGGGGAAGAGACTGGATTCCGGGATCTGGCAAAAGCGCTCATGAGAGGAAGAGGCCCCGGCCTGTGGTTCCTGGGCCTGGAAGAGGAAGGGGAGAAGTGATACAGAGCTGATGGTCCAACAGAATGAACAATTTGAGTACTATCTCTCTGATCTGCAGCTCGGAAATGGGTCCCCCTCCATGAAACCCTTGTGCAAATGTAAGCTGGGCAGATACCTGTGAAATAGGGTGAGTGGGGTATTGCCATAACCAATAAAAACATAGCCTTACCAGTCCTCAGGGTCACAGTCTCTGAATCCCTTGGCAAAAGGGTTGCTTGCAATCTTCAACTGCGTGATCTGTAAGAAGAAGTGGCAAAATGTCTCAAAGCAGCACACAGGGCTCCCTGGCCAAACAGTGTGTGTTCCTGAGCAGGCTTTGGGACTCAGCAGTGCTTGGTGTAACAGAGAGGATCCAGGTGGCTGGTGGAGCCAGGGTGTTCTCTGCCACAGAGCACAAACATGTGCTTTCCCTCTGTTAGAAAATGCGGGCTAACATGCTACCTAATATGAGTTCAAGGTGAAGGGAGAGGCAGTCTGAGTTGGCTGCAAAATCTGACTAAATGCACTTGTAAGAAAATGCCACATTATATGGGTCACCACTGGAGCAGTTAAGACAAATCACTGGATAAATCATACTTATGTATTTATTTAATTCGCCAGGGAGAAGGCAGGACATTTTCTATATTTAAGCAAATCCACGGATAAAGTATGTGATTGTGAGTTTCCGGAATGGGTTGAAAAACAAACTTTAAGCCCCTCAGTGACAGTTCCAGCCTTAGAGGTCAAACTGATAGAAAGCAGGAGAGAAAGAGCAGCTGTCCGGAGCCATCAGGCAAATGCCAGCCGGGGAGGGACTCCAGAGCCCCTTAAAGGCACAGCCTTGCTCTGGCCTCGCCGCCTCCACCGGGGCGAGGTGCGACCCGACCGCAGCATCCCGGAGGGAACTCAGGTCAATTTGCTCGGAGCCACTGCAAAGGGTGACACTTGCGCCGGTTGCTCAGGGACAGCCCTGGGACACAGCCCCGGCCTGCGCGGCATCGTCGCGGAGCGGAGCCGTTCGGAGCAGCGCTGAAAAGCCCCCGCTATGAAATCGTATTTCCACTCGCTGCTGGGATTCCTGCTCTTTACATTACACTGATGCGATTTAAAGGAGCAATTGGATTAACTGCTGCCCAGAGATCTGCATTAGATTGGGGTGGGGGAGTTGTGTTTCGTTTTGTTTCGTTTTTAACGTACAATTGTATTCTGAGGAGAGACAGACCGCTACGAACTTAAAGCAGTAAAATCGCAGATTTATCCAAACAAATTGTGAGTGACATTTCGCAGCGGGAAGCCTGTAGTTTCCCCACTAGCCCCGGTCTCGGCTTTACATAGGTAATGAGGTCCTCGGGCGGGGGGGAAGCTGGCGATGGGGCTAGAGCCCACGTCGCTTCCTCGGCGTACACCGATGCAGTTCCGCGCAGCTCCCCGGCTATCGGGTTCCTAGCGCTGCCCGGAATGGGTTTAGCAGATGGGGAGAAGGCGGGAATACCCCCAGCCATCCCCGCCGCCGCCGGACACCCGCAGCCCGGCCTCCAGCCCCGGAGCCGGACGAAGGGGCTGAGCCAGCACCGGATGCACCCGCACCCATGGTACCTCCGGGGCGACCCCAACCCCCGCTTTCTGCTGCCCCGAGCTCCGCTGCTGCCTCACCCGGTGGTTCTGGTAGGCGGTCACCGCCGTGAAGCGCGTCTCCTCGAAGACGAAAGTTTTGAAGTTCTCCTCCGCGTACTTCTCGCTGTCTTTCCGGGGGTCCACGTAGACCACGTGAAAACGCGGCTGGTATCTGTGCATGGAGTTCAAAATGATCTGAATGATAAAACGAGCAAGGAGACAATAACTGATCCAGGCGGAGCATGGAGAGAGGAGAGCGCAGCCCCGGCCCTGCCGGCTCCACTGCCCGGGACAGCCGCGGGGCTGGGGCAGAGCCCGCGGGGAGGGGGCGGGCAGGGTCACCCCACGGGAATCATAGCGCGGGGAGTTCCCACCCCGTGCAGCCCCGTGTTGGACATTTTTACCCGGGAACACTTACATGCCCGTTGTCATCCAGCAAATTGTTGGTCAGCTTGAGCTTATCGAAGGAAACGATCTGCTTCATCCACTGCGCCCCTTTGGCCGGGGAGTCCGGGTGGTAATGGACTCTCCCGGGGGTGGCGGGGTCGGCTTTGCCAGCCACCAGCCAGGAGGAACTGTGAAAGGCGTACCTGCGGGAGGGAGAGGCACCCTCAGCCGCGGCCCGGGGGGCTCCCGCCCGCGTCCGTGCAGCGCCGCTCCCAACGACTGCAGCACCTGCGCCCGGCAGAACCCGGCCCGGCCCAGTCCCCCTGGCCCACCGAGGGGGAAGCACCGCCTCTCCATCACTCCCGTTTCCCACGAGAGGAACGAGCTCTTTTCCGCAGCCAGAATTGCTGCGGAGGGGATATACTATTTTATCACGTCAGCGATGGAACTGTCGTGAGAGAAATCTGCAGGATGGAGGAAATTTATAGCTACCCATGTAGATTTGGGAGAGAAGCCACAAAAGCCTCCCCGTTCCTCTAAAAAAAAAGGTGGAAAAAAGCCCTCTATACAGTAATATTCTCGCTTTAAGTGAAGAGTGGAAAGTTGTGTGTAGATTAATAGCAGGTTCAGAATTTAGCAGTCTCGTTTCATTCTTTCAAAGTACATATTCAACAGTAACATTTAAAACAGAGAAACCAATCTTCTATACACGTGTTTACTTTAAAAGCCAGTGTTTGCACAGGGGGAATTAGACACCATTGGACTTGAGCAGAAACATTACTTTTTAAAGATATACTCAATTGGATGTTATATATCCTACTTCCCTTGACAAGCAAACATTTCTAGGACGCCCTGAGAATTTGGATATCTGTCTAAATATTTATATATCGGACCCTGCGATTCCTATGCAGGCTGCCTGCTCGGCGTCTCGATCTGAAGCTAAATACATAATGCGCTTTTCACTGTCTTAAAATTAAAGGGGCTCCAAACCAGACCGCATCACTGCCTTGTGAGTCGACAGTTTCCAAGGCCTTCCTACTCTGCCACTGGAAACAAGGGCAGGGTTTTGTGGCTTGGGTGGCTGGTGCCTTTCCAGAGCACAAAACCCACTCTCTTCACCCAAGCACCCAGGGAGCTCCCCAGCAGGCACGGCACAGCTTTGGGACATGTGCTGAGGGGCTATGGCACTCAAGGAGCACCGAGGGGATTTTTGTTAAGTGGCAAAGGGTGTTTGCCGGTGGAGATGTGTAGCAGTACAACAAGGAGAGCTTTTCTGGGCAGGACAAGGCAGCTCCTGCCCTGTGCCCTGTGGAAACCTGCCCTTCTGCCCATGCTGGTCTGGCCCCGGCTGCCTGTGAGCCTGGTGCGGGGGCTGAGGGGGCCCTGCAGTCCTGTGCAGCCGCTCCTAGCCCCAGACTCATTGCAAGAGTGTGAAGGAGACCCCAGGTCAGTCACATCCCGTGTCCCCTCCCTGTCTCACACTGACAGGTGTCACGCCCAGGGGCACATCCCTGAACCCCCAGAGGTCAGGAGCAGAGGGTGGGCAGCGACCCACCAGCCCCTACGGCTCCAAGAACCGCGAGACAGTCCAGGGATTTGTTACTTGCCGGTATCGCTTGTCATCCACCGGGACGAAATCCATGAGGAGCATGTAGTCAGCCATAGGGTCCATCCCAAATATCTTCACCTGGAAGGTGGGGAACATGCGCCTGGCACAGAGAGGAGAGAGAAGTGCTATGCTGAGGAGCAGCAGGGAGCCCCGAGGGGCCGGCACGGGTCTCTTCCCCTCCAGCTGCTCCAGTACCCTCCCAGTTGTGATGCTAAGTCCCCTCGAAGAAACTGCTGGCCAGAGGAAGAGGCAGATACACCCAAGCTGCCTGGGGAGACTGGCTGTCGTGTTCCCCAGCCCTCAGCAGCATCCTGAAAGGTGGGCCGGAGGGTCCTGCCTCTCCCACTGGCTCGGGGACCGTTCATGTCAGACACCCGAAATGCTCCACCAAGGTGGAACGGAGAGGACAGGGGAAACAAGAGCATCCTCGGCCTTTGCTATGGGGAGATCAAGTGAAAATAATTTTTTCTCCGTGGTTTCTCCATCATTTTAGCTGACCTGACTGGAGGCAAATGCAAGGCATTACCCTGTCTGCAGACCCGCACTCAAGCTCGGCAGCCCGTGGGGGTCAAATCTAAAAACTCCAGCAAACGACACGAGGTGATTGAGTTCCCACCTGTGCAGCTTCTGTACCCACCAAACTGCGTTCGTTTGAAAGCAGTAGTTACAGCAACAGCCCCTAAGGCCGCGGGAGACCTCTCCCATCCCGGAGGGGCAAACGCTCCCTCTCGGTGGGCAAGGGCTAGAGGGCAACGGGGATGGTCCCAGAAAACCCCGTCCCGCATCCACTTCTTTGCAAGAGCCCGGCCGGGCTCCCGCTCCTGCACCTTTGCGGAACGAAAGGGGGAGCGGAAAGGAGCCCAGGGCTCTGGAGTTGGGCAGGCCAGCCCCCGCGGCTGCTCCCCCAGTTCTTCTCCGCGCAGGCCCCCGGGGACCCAAAGCTAAGCCGAAACGTGGATCCCACGCTCAGGGAGGGCACGATTCCTTCAGGGGGCTGCAGTACAAATGCGATCGGCGGTGGGCTAAGGGAAGGGGCCGGGACGGTCCACCCGTCCTCCCTCCTGCATCTGCACACACGGGTACCAGGGCCTCGCCCGCAGCTCCCCGGCGGCACACGCCGATGAAGCGCCCTGGCGTCGGGGCTCCTTATGGCTTCGTTTTGTTTTATAGAATAGCAAAGCAAGCGAGCGCCTATAGGCAATATTTCGGGAAGGGTGTTTGCAGCCGTTGAAAAACCAAAGCCCCACCGCCCCCTGAACAAACAGCCCGATCAAACCCGGACACAGAGAGCCCCCCCCGGCTCGTTCTCGGGGCACACGGCCGGACCTGTTGTTCTGTGCCCCTTCCCCCCTCTGAGGGGCGATGGGTCAGCGCGCCTCTGGCTCCGCAGCTCTTCCACAGCGGGCCCAGCACTGCCGGGCTGCATCGGGATCGGGCAGCTACGTCTCCCTCCCCGTAAGGCTTCAGCAAACTCTGGAGGACGTTTTCAGTCGCTCCCTCTGTTATTATTATTTTTAAACATGAAAAAGCCCCCATTAGCTCCAATTCCGGTGTTTCTTGTTCTAAAACTTAGTTTTAAAACAAACAACCTGAGATGATAAGACCCATCTAGACAAACAGCAGGGCCAGCCCAGAGGTGCTGGAAGAGAACAGGCTTTGCAGCGCCTTCCCCGAGCCTTTTCCTGCTGCTTGTACCTCGTTTTCTCCTGTTTTTACTCGCTTGTCTGGAGTTTCGACTGTGTCATAAAGTAAACGAAGAAAAGTGTGGGAGAAAAACCCCGATTCAATTCGAATTGGTTAATTTCCGAAGCCTTTTGAAACGGGATATTTGCAATCCTTTCTCTCTTCTTGGAGAGCTAAGAGAGTCAGATCGAAGAACTGTTTGCAGAGAGCCTCCGCCTGGAGCCTGAACGACCTTTTCCGCTAAGGAAAGCAACGCCGAGCCCGGCGCCGGGCTCAGGGGCCGCGGCCGGAGACAGCGGGCTGTGCGACCCGGCGCCGGGGCAGGCACCGTCTGCGGGAAATTCCGCCCGGGTCCCGCAACGCAGCGCCGGCTGCTTTTGCACCGGGCACCACGGTGATTGTTTCATTTTAGGAAATTGCTAATATTAAAAAAAAACCACCCAAACTTAAATGGCCACTGCGTACATGTACGTATGTTTCTTTCTTTTTTTTCTTTTTTTTCTTTTGCACTTTCGGGACCCTCAAAATCGCTGACGGGAGAGCGGGAGCGCACGGCCGCGGTCACAGCTCTTGCCAGACCGTTCGGAGCGGAGTTCGACCCTCTCCCCCGGCCGGCCGTCCCGCCGCAGTCAGCCCCGGGGCGAACTGAGAGCAAGCAACGGGGGATCCCTTAATTTGTTTGTTTTTCTTTTCTCCCCCCCGCCGAATCGCTTTAAACCAAGGGAAGACTCAGAACCTGGACAATTCGCAGCTCTGCCGGAGCCTGGCGGGGAAAGCCTCGTAGCACTGCCCGAGCCGCCGCGGCCGCGGCGCTTCCCGGGGATCTCCATTAAATGCAGTAACTAACAATTGTAATTGGGACTCCTCTTCCCCCCATATGTTTTGCTCGTTCCTAACGCGATCGCATCAGCCGCTTTCTTTGTTCCCTGCCCAGGAGCGGGGTCCTGGCCCCGAAACCGCGCCGCGGCGGCCGGAGCAGAGCTGAGAGGAGCCGCGTTCAGCCGGGCTCGTTGCTCGATAATCGGGAAATACAACAGCCCTGGAACGCGTTTCAAGGTGCAGAATTAGGGTCTGTTCGCGTCTCCGCCGGAAGGAAAACATCTGCCCGTGCTAAGAATGTATTTAGCAGGTTTTGCACGGTTTGCGTGTTGTTTTTTTCCTTCCCCCGTATCGTTGCTGTCCGCCCCGGGAACACACACCGTCCTCCGTAAACACGGATCAAAGTCCCGTGTGGGGTCGCAGCCGAAGGCGCCCGGAGGAGCACAGCGCCCTTTTAAGCGGGAGTAAAACCCAGTGCCCTGCCTGCCGTCCTCCGCACGCCTTCGCCGTCAGCCCGCAGCAGCAGCCGCGCGTTCTTCCGCAGCACCGAGGCCTTCGGGCCGCAAGAGCTCGCAGATTTCGCCCCAGGAGAAGCGCAAGGATCAAATGACGGCGACCGCCGGGCCGAGCCGGGCCGCTCCGCGACTCGCCCCTGGGCAGCAGCTTCAATCTCCCCCCATACTGCGAATTCAACCACTCGCACCGGATTCTCCCGCCCCGACTGGCCTGGGTGCCCGGGTCCGGAGGGAGCGGCTGGAAAACCGGGGCCGCTCGGGAGCTCCGCACTGACCTGCCTGCCTTGGTGACGATCATCTCGGTGCCCAGCTGGTTGAACTCGTCCCACAACGCCTTCATCTCTAGTTGGACGCTCACGTTGGCCACCTTCGGGTTCTTCTTCACCGGCGCCTTGGCCGCGGCGGCCGCCCCCGTAGAGCAGCCCGAGACTGCGGCCGGCCCCGCAGCGGCTCCACCGGCGCCCTCGGGCTGCTCGGGGCCTGGGGGCGGCGGGTTGGTCCCGGCCGCCGCCGCCGCCGCCCCGCCGAAAGGGTAGCCGTGCTGGGGCTGGGGCGGCGGGTGCGGGTGCTGCTGAGCCGTGCAGGGCTCGTAGTGCGGCGGCTCATGCTGTCCGTACGGGTCCCCCGGGGAGGGGGAGAGGTGGTACCCCCCGGAGGCGTTCAGGCTGCTCAGGCTGTTGGCCGTGAAAGCTGCAACATCGCAAAAATGGGACAGCTGGGTGAGCCAGGGGCTGGAGATAGCTGAAATCATTCCAAAAACAAGCGGTCAGGGCTCCGCTCCGGCTCCCGCTTTCCCCCCAGCTCCGCGCCGCTCCGCGCGGCCCCCGCCTCCGCACCGGCTCCGCGGGGTGCCCTCCGCCTCCTCTCCTGCCCCGCGCCCAGCCCAGCGGGGCGCCTCCCCCTTTCCGCTTTGCTTGGCCCCAGCCCCGCTCCCCCCGGGGCAGGCGGGGAGCTCGCTGCTCCCGCTGCCTGCCTGCCTAGGCTTCTTTTTTTTTTTTTTTTCCTTTTTTTTTCTTCTATTTTTTTTTTTCTTTTGCAAACCCGAGAGGTCTGCCAAGAGCCTCGGCGGTGCAAAGCCCGTGCTATCTCTGCAGGCCTCCCTCGCCACACACTACTTGGGACAAAGCAAACTCCCTCCTTTCGCCCCCTCTCCAAAAAATTGAGAGAAAAAAAAATAGAGGAGTGGGGAAACTCAGAGAAAGAAATCGGCTCTTATTTCCGTGTAGCTACGCTGCTGCAGGTAACGTCCTTCACTCTGGAGCCGCGGGGCTGCGGCTGACAGGGGAAGTCGGATCTGGTTTGGCAATGCCCCATTCCTTCCATCCCCGGACGAGAAAGAGGAAGAGGCCGGGACCAGAGCAAAGCTCGGGGTTCGCGCCGAGGAGCACCGGGACGAACCCGGCTGCGCAGCCCTCGGCCGCCGGCCCGAGAGGGCCCCGCGGCGCATGAAGGCCGCCCGGCGGAGCGGCCGCTCCTTCGGCTCCCCTCCGATGCTGAAAGGCTCCTCGAGGTCCCGGGGGTCTCTTGCGTTATTTCCGACGCAGCCCCCCAGGCCGGACAGGGGCTGCAGAGCCGGTGGGAGCCGAGCCCCGGCCTGCCGGTGCCTCAGGCACGGCCGGCGCTGTCGGGGGATGCTTTCAGCACCTCTGAGAAGAAGCGAGTCCCAGCGGCGGAGCCGTCGAAAGCTGCTACCGGGCCACGGGCAATGCCTTTCTCTAAGGGAGGGCTACAGGGGCCCAGGCGTACCGGGAGAAACGGCAAAGCCTCCCCCGACCGGCTCCGCGGGCAGGCCGCGTTCTGCGCGCTGCCCCTGGCCCGGCCGCCGGCACGGGCCGTGCGAAAGCCCTCGAGTACGCGGTGCCCGGCGGTCCCGTCCCCGCAGCCCTGCGGGGCCGAGCGCGGCACTCACCTTCCATGTCCCTGGTGACGGTGCTGAAGTGCATCTTCTGAGGGCGGCAGCCGGGGCGGGCGGGCGCGCTGCGGCCGCCGCGGCGCTCCTCCAGCTCTCCTTTCCCTGCTTGCTCGGCGGCGGCGACTGAAATCAGAGAGGCGATACTGAAAGCATTTGCCTTGGGAGACAGAGGGCTGTTTTCGTCCATAGGGGAGACACCAATGCAGGAGCAGCAGGCGCGGCAGCCTCCCACCACGAGCCCCCCCCCTCCCACCCCCTAACTCCCCTCCTTTCTACCGCACCATCCAGGGAGGTGCGAACGAGACCCCCTCCTTCCAGACGGGGGGGGAGGGGTGGGGAAGGGAAACTTAAAAAAAAAATAAATGCAAGAGAAAACAACCTAAACCCTCGCCCCCCCGGGAAGGGCGTTGGGGAACAAGAAACTTCCCCGGGTCCCTTTGTAGCTAGCGCCGAGCACCGCAACGGCGGACCGAGCTCTGTCAGCGAGACGGGAGCGGGGGGCAACAAATAAATAATCCACGAATTTCTTTCCCGGGGTGTCCGTTTCTCACCACCCTCCCCCCTTCCCCAATTCGTTCCCTGCGATTTATTAATTCATTTTCTGTCTTCCCTTCCCCTCAACCACCACCTCCTGCTTCTGCCCCCCTCGTCCCCTCCTTTTCTCCTGCACGAAGGGAAAGTGTCTCCCTTATAGGCGCTTTCCCCATTCAGTGGCTGGGAGGCGTCACATGGAAGCCGGGGGTGTTTGCCTGCAGAAGCGGCGGCGACGGCGGCGAAAGCGAAGTGAAACTCCTGCCGAGACGGTGTCAAAGGGCTGGGGAGGCCCTTCCCCGCCTCCCGGGCACGGCGAGCGGCCGCCGGGGAGGGATGGGATGTGCTGCGGGGCGGGCGGAGGGGCCGGCGGTGTCAATCACGGCGCCGGGAGCCGGCCGACGGGAAGGGAAGAGCCGAGCCGAGCCGAGCCGAGCCCGGCGTCACGCTGCGGATGTCCGGCACCGAGAGAAGGGATAGCTCTTTTCCTCCAGCTCGCATGCACAGCGGGGCTGGGGGCGACCCTCGGGGCTCGGTGGCCGCGGGGACCCGCGGTCCGAGCCGCCGCAGCAGGCGGGGTCTGGGCACGTCAGGGTGAGCAGCGGGTGCAGGTACTGCCGGCCGCTTCGCTCGGATGGGACTCCCCTAGCCCTGGGACACCAGACTCCCAAAGCGCCCGCCAGCATTCCAGCATTTCCTTCGCCAATTAAAAATAAAAAAAAAAAAAGCAAAAAAAAAAAGCGGAGAAAACGGAAAGCAACGAACGAGGCGGTAGGCGAGCTCCTGCTTAGCCCAGCGCCAGAGCCCGCTTCGTCGGCAGCACCTGCACGGCCCGTCTGGGCCTGGAGCCGCGCCCGGTTCCCGTCCCTGCCCCGGCGAGGACGAGGCGCTACTCACCGCCCGCTCCCGGCCCCTCGGAGCGCCGCGGCGTTCCCCAGGCCCTTCTTTCGCATCGGCGCGGGGCAAGGCGATGCGCCCGCCCTGCCGGGTCCGGCCCAGCCCGGGTACCAGTACTAGTCTCGGTCCGCGCCCCGGTGCCGGTCCCTCCGGGCGGGTTGCTGCACCGATGTCCCGGGGAATTGCCCCGACGGGGCGGGCGGAGCCGTGGGGCGCGCCGGTGGCTACCGTCGCGGTGGGGGTTGCATAACCCGAGCGATGCGCGGAGAGCCGGAGTGAGCAAGCGGGTTATATATAGCTGCCCTGTCTGTAGCCTGCGGGGCTTGATTCTTCTGTTGAAATATTATCTTTGGATGTGGTAAAAATATTTGCAGAGAAAAATCTAGACTACTCTTACATATTTGAGCATATGTTCCTGCAGCTAACGGCATAAGGGCAGAGCGTGACATGATCGGTGTTTTGTTTCTTTGCTGCTGCTGCTGGCAGCGCGGTTCCTGGCCGGGGCAGCTTCTGTCGCGGGCTCGGGGACACGTCACGGAGAAGACAGTCCCGGTACTGACCCGCGCTGCTCACCTGGCGGCAATACAAGAAAGAGGGGAAGGGATTTCGTTTGGGCACCCCGGGGCAATATCGGAGGAAAGCGAGGAGCCGCGGGTGAGAACTCCAAGCCGCCTCCGGGGAACTCAAGGGCTGATGCGAGCGGGACGCTGATGCCCCTTCCCCGCGGTATGCTTGGCTTTGGACAGCCTCTGCTCCAGGAGGAAAGAAAATAGTTCCCCTGGAAATTAAGAAAAAAACCCGAAACCAACGCCCCAGCAGAGTTTGGGGTTGCAGTCCCTGCCTTAGTTGCCCGCACCGTTTCCCGGGTTTATTCCTTTCTCCTTTCCTGCTCCTTACATAAAACTCCAGCTGTAAACGACACCACGTCGGGGACAGCCCGGGCGTGGACCAGTCCCTCGGCCTGTCCACCCGGCCGGGGGTGTCGGGGCTGAGTGGTGTCTACCAGGAACAGAGGACCCGCCGGGAATCGTTGTCACCTGGGCGGCAGCGGAGCGGGTCCCCGCCAAATGGCGGGGCTGAAGCCTCGAAACCCCAAATCCCCGAGAGTAGACCCCGCCGCCCCGCTCCCACATCCCCTCCCTGGCCTCGCAGACACGCGGGGTTCCTACACGCGTGAGCAGCGCCGGGCGGAGCTGAGACAATGGAGAGGGAAAACCACCCTGTCTGCCCTGCCAACAGGGACCCCGCAGGGACAGAACCCACCCGAGGGAGAGGGTGGCACGGCGCTCTGCAGCAAGCGGAGTCGACCCCTTTCCTGCACCGCGAAAAGGGCCCAGAGGTCGCATTTGACAGAAGTCCCGAGGACGCATGTCCTCTTTCCTCGACCGCTCCTCATCGGCGGAGCGCTGCAAAGCGCATCCAGTCTCGACGCGGGGTTGCTAACCCCGCCGTTAGCCATTACTGCTGTGCCCCGGCTCTGCATTCGTCCAGAGCACGGGTGTGTTTGTTAGGATCGAGCCCAGAGGTTCTGCTCCCCGCAGCTCATACTTCGCCCGAGCAGGTGGGAGGAGAGGTCGAGGTTGTCCCGCCGCCTCTCCTCCGGAACGGCTCTGCGGTGAGAAAACGCCAAGAGCTCGATGCGGAAAAAGGGTTGGGACACCTTTCCCCTTTTCCCTCATCCTCCGTGGACGCACATCTGCTTCGTCCAGAAAAGATGTAGCCCGATCGCTCAAAAGCCTGTGGTGGCACCGAGGAATGCAAAACGTGGCAATGACTCGCGCATTCCCCACGACGGCAACCCCCAAGTCCCGGGGCGGCCCCCGAAGCCGAGCATCGCCGTGTTCCTGCCGCTCCACCACCCGCAATAAACATCCGCTGGAACCCCGTCCCCTGTTTGGGCCCCGCACCCCATCATCCCCCAGACCTTTCAGGCAATGCGGACACCCCTGGCTCCTGCTTTCGTCCTCCCTCGCAGGGGACTCCCTGCCGGCACTGTTCCCCACGGGCCGGGCTACGTGTCCCTGGTCACGGACACTCACACCGAGCCATGGCCCTGATGCTGCAGAGGTGCCCGGGTCCCCCAAGCCGGGTTCATCCGCGCACCCCGAGCACAGGCTGTGATACCCGAGTGTCGCGGCCCCGATGGGCTGTCCCCGCGTCCCCGGGGCCTGGCTGGGACACAGCCCCACTGTGCCGCCTTCCCTCCGTCCGCCCTCCGCACTCCTCACCCCTCCGCCAGCATCTCTCCACTCGTCCCTCCCGCGATCCCTCCTTTCTGCCCGCTCCCCCGGCCCTTGCCCGGCCCCGCCGTCCCTCCCGCCCCCAACCTCTGCACCCCGGCTGGCCCCTGGCGAGCCCGGGCTTTCGGAAAGGGGGGGGGCGCAGACTCTGCAGGGGACCTGGGGGCGGCC